ATGCTGCCCAGACAGTAGGGAGACTCCCCACATAAACTGGCTTGACCCAGCAGGGACAAGGAAATCATTCATCTCTGAAGTCTGCTCCCCAGTATCCACTTTAGGATGCAAATACAGAATCATTCTGTTCAGTGTCCTTTCATTACCCCATCAACAGAATGAAGAAATCCTGGGTGATGTTAATGTTCGATGGCCCGATTTCCTTAGATGTTTCACTTGAGGGGGCAGTTTCCACAAACCAGTCTAGATATGAAGTGGGGACTTACTGTGAACCTCAGTGTGTCCCTTCCAGGGTATCCCCAGCCCATTGGTATATTGCCAGTATACCTATAACTTTTTTTCCCAGTGAATATTTTTATTTTATTAGATTTTCTTTTCTTTTTTAAATTTAATGTTTATTTTATTATATATGTGTGTATGTATATATATGTATAAATATATATATATATATACACACATACATCTTTCTTCATTTTGTACAGTTTTCATCTCAGTTATAATCCCTGTGGCCTTCCCACCACCACTTCTCCCATGTGCCATCACCATAGCCCTGTGGGCGCTTCCTGCCCCAGTTTTGATCTGTTCCCCTCTCCTCCCCCATAAAATGTCCTTGGTTTATAGTTGTTAGTGGATGCTCATTTTTACTTTATTGCAATCACCATATATATATATATATATACACACACACACACACACACACATATATATATACACACACATATATATACACATATATATACACACATATATACATTCATACATACACACACACACACACACATATATATATATATATTTTTTTTTTCCTGATCCCTTACACTCCTGCTATGAGCAAAACCATCCGGTATTTTTCTTTTTTCTTTCTGGCTTATTTTCAGTGTATTTTTAAAGTAATGTGGACTGTCACACACAAGTTTTTCAGATGCTGATCTACCTTTTCAGATGGCTTTTCAGCCTCATCCACAGGCCTGAATTAGCAGTAGCCAGAGGTCTCTTTCTACTCCCTGTATGTTCAGATCTGCAGGCATGCAGAAACATCGAGGGGCCATGAAATGCTGGGAATCTGATGAGCACCCTCAGGCCTGACTAGCATGTGGTGCCCGGCCACCCTCGTGGCTGCTGGTGGGTGTGGAAGCCTAGGAGGTGGCGGTGGCCGTGCCTTCCCCAGGCAACTCATGGTTTCTCTGTGGGCTCTGACCTCGCCCCTCCTCAGCTCTTCTGGAAGCTGCTTATTATCTGAATCTCCTGAGAATGAAGCAAAACTTCTATGAGAAAGACACCATTTGGTGTCACATGGATGAATTTCAGAATTTGAGGGTTTTGTGGGACTCATACACAACACAGCTTTGAGCACCAAACACACTCCTTACATTCCAGAGCAGAAGACAGGTGTCTGGAGAACTTGGCCCTTGCTTGCCACCCTCCCCTCGTGGGTGCTTGTAGTGGTATGTGAATGGGGAATGGGTGACTGTATGTGGGTGTTGACAGGAACTAAGAAAAATACACAACCAACTGGGACTTGTCTTCATAGGTTGTCTTTGGCAAGGCACATTAATATGGTTAGGAGAAAAGTAAGAGAGCTCTAGTTTATTATACTTCATGAATCTGTAACCCATTCATTCAATGGGTGTTCATTCAACGCTCACCCCAAGTCCACCACCACTTCTACTAGCGACTATGGTTTCACCCACCTCAAGAACGCTGCAGTGCAGGCATTTGCCTCTTTACTGATTTGATCTTTTCTTTGTCTCGAGCACTGTTTTCCCAGCTTACCAAACCCGCTCAGATTGCATCCTTAATGATTTCTGGTTGAATTCCTCAGAAAGGTTCTGAGGGCCTCACTGGTGTGTAGCTAACATGGCACTTCACTCCCCACCTTAGCTCTCCAGTTGGCTGCTTATCCATTCATTCGGCAGGCAGGTACTGTCTAATGCCCCCAAGGGGGTCACAGTCCTGGATGTGCACTTATGGGGGGTGGGGGCGCGTGCAGTGTGCTGGTGCTAATTTCTGTTTAAAGAGGCTGGGGGGAGTTGGCACAGTGTACCCTAGAAATTTAGGATGTAGACAGGTGTGATGGGAAACATAGGACTTCTAGATGAGAGGATCATCTGCAAAGCTAGAGAAGCAGTGAAGTATGGGGGGTGCCAGAGCAGAGCTCGGTGTTCTGGAACTATGTTGCATGAGGGGAAGACGTTGCAGGAAGAGTGCGGTCTGGCAGGAGGCCTTTGAGTACTTGGAGTTCTGGCTTCCAAATGCAGGCCGGGCTGACACGAATGCTTGAGCAGACAAGGGTAGCGGTAGAGAAGGCCTTTCCTCGCGAGTTCTTAGACTCCTAGCTGGGTGTGGGGAGTGTTTCCCAGTCCCCATCTCCTTCAGAGGAGGAGATCCTTAGAGGATGACTGACTTGGTCAAAGTTACAAAATGATGCTTCTCCCACGACACCTTGTGCCCACAGTGCTGTGTTAGCTTGTGCCCACTGGCAATCTTCAAGAGGTATCATTGAAGTCAGCAAAATAGTCTTTATGCAAAAGAAAAGAGAGAAAGAAATGTGCATACATTCTATGAACATTTTAACAAATTGCTATTATAGGCTTTGTACATGACAAAGGGAGAGGCTTCATATATAAAGTAATGGTTGCATGAGTAGAAACTTTTGAAAAGAGAAGGAATACATTCATTTTAATACTCTTTGCCTTACAATCTGGATTTGTGTTGACTATGACATAGTGAATGTAGAGTTTGTCATGGTACTGAACTTCATGAACTCATTGGCTACAGAGTGAATAACATCAGAATCTCCTGCTTGGGCCGCAGTATCCATTTCCATGAAGGCGGCCGTATCCCAGCCCTAAAGGCCACAGCATGGCCTACGCTGCTGCTGCTCACCGTGGCCATAAAGGCCTTCTGGATGTTTGGGCGCCATTAGCTGAAATCACAAGTCTCTACATGACATTTATATCCAGCCTAAATTATGACTAGTTTAATTGATTTTTTTTTTCATTTTGTCCAGTACATTCACATCATGTATAGATAACTTTAAGTGGATGCTAAAGTGGGGATTAGACAGAGAGACATTTGTTTCTGGTTTCATTTGAAATAGTCTCACAATGTTTACTTGAGAGAGATTTATAAGTTTGTGGCATTTGGATGTCTTTATTTCCTAAAATAGAGGTTTAACAATCCATAGAATTTTTTATAGCCAAAGGATTTTTATTTTATTTTATACCTTATTTTATTATCAATGAGTGCTGCAACATAATACAGCAGCATTTAGTCTGTGCTTGACACTGTGCTAAGCACTATGATAGCCCAGGAACTGTGTTTTCTCCAGTATGTTACTATACTCTTACCCCCAATGAGTGGAAGGTTGATTCTGACATTTTGGTTTCTGTGGCTGGGAAGGATTTTGTTTCCATTGGGAGGAATATGGCAGAAGCAGCTGTGAAGAGAGGTACTTTCTTTAGCAGCCAGCAGGTGTCAGCAGAGGACATGGAACTCTGGGCAAGAGATGTGTTCTTGACTTAACTCACTAAGGCCATCCCCATTGGCCCCCCATTGGGCCAGCTTCTCCCAAATATTAGCATCAAAAACTCTCCTCAAGACTGCATCACATCCATTCACCTTTGCCTTATAAAAACACTGGTTCCTTGATGTTTTTCTGATTTAAAGTATCTTTCATGGACACCACTCTACAATGTAGAGAAGCTACTGGGTGGGGCTTTTGTTTCCATGGGCTCCTCCCCCAATGGGTGGAATCCACTCTCACCTACCATGGCGAAAAGTACAGGGCCTATTCTTTTTCTTGCAAGGAGAAACAATCTGATGGTGGGCTGGATGACTGCAAACTGCAGGGGTTTTTAGAGTGTAAAGGAGAGAGGCCTCTTCACTGTCTTACTGTTTCATCCATGGTGTAGCAGGTCTTTGCTGGAGTTCACTGACAGAAGTTAAGGGTCAGTGCGTTGATTGACAGGGGAAACCTTGGTGGGGTAGATACGGATTTGTACCATACTGGTATCCTCTTGTTGCTCATCTTTCCCCCTCACTTGAATGGGTGGACTACATAGGGTGCTGAGCCATTTGGTATGGGGTGTTGGGCGAGAGGGTGGGGCACAATGGGGGATGGGTTCCCTTGTGTACCCAGGCTTCAGACAGCAGCACTCAGAGGGCTTTCAGTGGAATGATACTAAGCGAGTGGTAAACGGAAGGAGAGACAAGCTGGGGAGATAGAGACACAAAGTCAACCCGGGGTTTCAGCAGCTATTGCTACAGGGGCTGTAAGCAGCCGAGGTGGACAGGACATCAAGGACTAATGTGTGGCCCCAAACATAATTCACGGAGTAAAGGCCTGGTTGATAAAAACATCTGGAATTTGGATGTGCTACGGGGACTTCCTGTGGCTGGTCAATGGGATTTGACAAAGCGTGTAACAGCTAACTCCAGGAACTCTTCAGATCCTTCCAGAGCCTTAATTGAATAAAGTACTATTCAAAAGGCTGTGCTTCAATAGGGATTCAAAAGTAGTTATGTTTTGCTTTCATAGGACCTCTATCATAATGGTCAAAGAAAATCACCTTGTTGTTTAAAGCACCCTGCAGAATATCCTTGAGACACACTGGCTGCATGGTGCCGTTGGACAGGGCGGCGGACAGTGTTACCGGCTCTTGCACCCAGGCCGGCACATGCAGCAGCTCTCCAGCCAGACCTGGGCTGGCTCGCAGACCTGTCTTCATCCAGACTTCTGAAGCAGCTTTCTTAAAAAACGTTCTTTGGTGTTGAATCGACTTCCAATTAGTATTGGAACTGCATATGGAATTGTGCAAGGGACAGATCTCGTAGAAAACCGAAGTGCTTTTCTTACTGAAAGGCTTCAGTTAATGGCCACTCATATGCAAGTGCCATTGTGCTCACGGAGACCTGGAGCTTCAGATTGTGGTCGTGCTGCTCTGGGGTGGTTCTCACCTCCATCTGCTGCAGTTTCACACCTTGTCTCCCTTTTCCAGATCACTGGAGTGATCCTGCTGGCCGTTGGAGTCTGGGGCAAACTCACTTTGGGCACCTACATCTCCCTCATTGCCGAGAACTCCACAAATGCTCCCTATGTGCTCATCGGAACCGGCACCACCATCGTCGTCTTTGGCCTGTTTGGGTGCTTTGCTACGTGCCGCGGTAGCCCATGGATGCTGAAACTGGTAAGTGTGTCGCAACGTAATACTGCGGTTTCAGTTCCTTTGTGTAAAAAATATAAGTTACATAAAAGTGAAGTGGCCCTTCTTGAAGCCACAGAGAAAACCTTAAGAGTCACTGACTCTAAATTTAGTCTGGAATCTTACCTAATCCTCCCCTTCAATCCCCCAGAGAGAAAAACAATCCCAGACACAGCCTGGCACACACAAAAAGAATCCAGTCCTGGTCCCTTGAGGTAGATGGTGACAAAGTGGTGGCCGGTGTTTCCAGCAGGCCATTTATAGCTTCGTGGCAAATGCCCTGTTCCGGTTTTGAACTCTTAGAAATCTCAAGCACGTGATGTGCAGCTCTAGTAAGCAAGGCCGCATCCTGGATGTACACAGCCTTTCATCTCCAGGTTCTCGTTGGACAAGTGCTTTCTGATTCCTTGAACTTGGCTGTGCTTGGACGCACGCGCATGCTATTCTCTGAACCCGCACTCCCCGGCCCAGGGCTGGGAGGCTTCGGCCAAGGCATATGCTCCCCCACTCAAGAGAGGGATTACGCAGTGCCAAGACTCTGCACTTCACTTTACCAGGCCTTTCATAGGCATCTACCCCAGCCATGAGAGCCAAAGGGTACGCAGACTGTCAAAGCCGTTACTGTGATTTTTTATTTTTATTTTTTTCACTTTTTGGTAGTTTAGCTGCTGAATGCTCTGTTTTATTTTTAAAGATTATCATGGACCTGTTGTCAAAAGAAAATTTTGTTTAAAAAGGATGTTTCAGACGTCTCATTCTGTGAAAAGGAGATGCAGAGATTCTCTCTGTGCTGTATGGCCTGTGTTTGTTTTGTTCCAGGTTGTAGAAACATTTAATAGCAGCTAGTGACAGAGGTGAAAGGGGCACTCACTCCAAAGGAACCAACGTCCAAACTGGCAGTGGTCAGTCTTCGTTGGCAACCTCATGGAATTAGGGCTGGGTTTGGCCACTTCCTGCCATGCACACTGTGCAGGAAGCTGCTGCTTTTGGCCGCCACTGATTCTTCCAAGTTGACAGAAAAGCCATAGTGAGGCGATTTTGAGGCCTCACTTCTGCTGCCATCATCGCGGGCTGCCGATGAAAACAGCCTGGGTCCACCTTTTAGTACTGATGGGACTGGGGTTTCTTTGGGTCTGGTGCCGTGGTGCTTAACTCTGGATGTGCTTACATCACCTGGGAAGCTTTTGAAAAACCCTTTGCCAGGGCTCCACTTCCAGACAATTGAATCTATGATGGTGAAGCCCTGGCATCACATTTCCTAGAAGCTCTACAGGAGATTCGATTGTACTTACAGTGCTGACAGCTTCCAGCTTCATACAATGAATTGCAAGGAGAGAATCAAGTTCAGAGGTATAGAAAAGAAAGCGGGCCAAAATTCTGGCCAAATATGAAGGGAAGAGACCCGGCCATCACACCAGCTGACTCTAGTCCTTAGGGGCAAGGATATAACATCTTTGGGCTTTTGTCCCCATTTAGTATTGGATTAAGTAATGAAGGTTCATTCCAGCCCAAATACTGTAACGGAGGGGGGTGGAAGAGAGATGCTGTCATGAAGCCACAGACAGGTCCTCCATGTTCATTAACTTAAATGTGAGGCCAAAGTTTGAACTAACCTACCCTTGAAAAAGCCCTGGCCTCGCTTTTGGACAGAGCTACCCATTGCTGAGTGTAAGGAAATAGCAGACTGTGTGGGTGAGCAGTGGGAGTTCTCTCTGCAGGTGGTTTCACGCCACACTGCCATGTTCTCCTCCTAACCCTTGCCAGCTCGCCAGCAGGTGAATCTTTTGAGGAATGGAGAATTGGGGGGATTGTTTTGATTTTTGTCTTTTAAAAGCTATCATTTAGTCCCTTTTATCCACTAGATACTCTCTGGTGCATAGTACCTTTTCTTTATGCCTCATCACCACAGGGAAGAAAGAGCACATTATATTTTCATGTACCATGATAAAGACCTGGAGATTAGATCAGTCTGCCCAGGCTCACACAGCTCATGTATAGGGAACTGGGGTTGGAACTAGTATATGTCTCTTTCCAAAGCCAGGGCTGTTTCTACTAAAATATTTTCATTTGGTGAAAATTTGAACCCAACCATCTATATGTAGAATAAACTCTTCCCAGTAGACGTTTGGCCAAGGCCTTCTGAAGGAGAAGTGGCTGTCTCTGGAAGCTCCTAGAAGGAGGGAATGTCTCAGAGACAGGAAGCTGCTGACTTGCCTGCTGATAGAGGAAGCCTCTGATTCAGTGTCAGTCTGGACTTATATAGTTCTCATTTAACTTCATTAATGATAACACCACTGAAAGCAGTTCTTTCGACTTTATGGAGAACTAGAGACACTGCATCTTGGCTAAGTGCAGTCCATGACAAGGCTGGGTTGCAAACCTGGAAAGACTCCAGACCAAGTCCAACGCTCTTTCACCCACGTGCCTCCTGACCGTTTCTTTCCCACAGAACATTCTGGGAGGGTCCATGCCTGGCATGAGACTCTTGCTCAAGTATGCTTCTGACTGTATTTTGTACCAAGCTGGGAGACAAGTGTCATACATGTGGCATCCCGTTCATAATTGTATGTTTGGTATTGTAGTGGTTGAGCATCAAGTGTGAGTATAGAAGCTTTTATTAATATTCCACATGCAAATGGCATTTAAAGCCAGTATTTCCTCCTTTCAATGTATGCGTCACTAGCTGAGAACAATGACTCATGATCTCATGAACATGTGTCTGCAAGGCACATGTTCACTTTACAAGGCAGTCATCCCGCCACGTGCAGTTCATGCAGATGCCACAGCACCATCTCGGACCATTGCAAATGTTCAGGACTATTGTATTTCACTTTGAGATGAGAAGCAGCAGATCATAAGTCATGGCTTGTCAGCAAGGAATCAGTTCGCTTTTCTTTTATCTGCTTTTCAAAGTCACAAACACGGAAACCCTTAATGTCTCACGGGTGCCAGGTAACATCCCTGAGCATGGGCATGCCCGTGCGTGCACATGCACAAAATCCACTTGAAATGTCCAGGAAGCATGAAATGAGGACAAAATTCTAAGTGTTCTAGGTGCTTGCACATGTTAGTTCCGAGTGCTGCATGCTTGCATTTTGAAAGGCAGTCACTTGCAGGGAGTGAGCAGAACGAGACAGGTGAGCAGCTCTGGTGCTGCAAATGTCATATCAAGGTGGGACCATGTCCACGTGCCCATCCTGGCCTTCGGGAAGATCCTTCCCAAGGAGAGAGATGCACTTTAGGAAACTGAAGGGGTCTGCCTGGATGAAGAGAGGCAGCAGGCTCACAGTGTGGCCGTGTTCGCACCTAGGTGAAGGATCTTAGACAGCGGAGTGGTTAGGCTGGTTCTGATGTCTCCTGAAAGCAGAGCCACCACCACTGAGTGGAGGCGGGAGGCCGCCTGCCCAGGGCTCAGGAAGTCTTTCCACAGTTGCAACCCTCTGAAAACAGGATGTGCTGTGAGGGTGGGTTGGAGAGGAGCGGGCTGTGGACGCCAGGTGGCCGTCACTGGGAAGGCGGCACCAAGGCAGGGCAGAGTGTCCCGGGGCAGTACTTTCTAGCATAAGGATTGGAAGGCTAAATATAGCAGGTGTCTCACTTGCAAAAGGCCCTTCCAGATTTCTCTGCTTTAGTTGAGCTGCCAGGCACGATGCTAGGCTCTCAATGAGCTCTGCTTAGCCCTTGCACCCGAAAATGCTTACAGTTATTAAGCCAACACATTCGTAGATCAGGGTTCGCGTGGGTAAAACTAGAGAAGAGTAATTTTAAATTCTTCTTACCTTTGTCTAGGGAGTGTGAGGCTTTGTCACTAGTCATCTACCCTGAAGAAGCACTTTGCTTAATTTTGACATCCCTAACTTTGTTCTTGTTCTCTTGATTTTCAGTATGCCATGTTTCTGTCCCTGGTGTTCCTGGCTGAGCTTGTAGCTGGCATTTCAGGGTTCGTGTTCCGTCACGAGGTGCGTATACGCAAATGGACATCTCACAGGTCTTTGGGCGGAGGGTCTTCGATACCCGTTGAAATGTGTAAAGGTTGCACATAGGTTCTCTGCCATCTATAGTGGTATTGATCTTCTCCAGATGTCTTGAAACGAGAGCTGGAATGCCAGAACAATGCTGAATGGTGAGATTTGGCAAAACTTGGAACCTTAGGTGGTGATCTTCTCTTTCTTTATATAGCTGTTGCATAAAATGATTCCCCATTTTGTTTGAAAGCAGTGACCTTCAGCAGAGATGAAATACTCCTTTTAAAATAGCCACTTCAGCAAGGTACGTGTGTGTATCTGTAGGGCAAGATTTGTGAGTCTGCAAAGCCCAGCCAAATTAATTGTAGCCCAAAGGCAGAGTGCTAGATTTCCCCCAAAGCGGCTTGCACTCTTCTTTCCTCCCTGGGGCCCCTGCTGGCTCCCCTTCCAACCCCCCACTGCCCAGGGGTAAAATCCACCCCCAGTAATGAGGAGCCCTGCTGTTTTGTGCAGTGTTGAGGGAGGAGGATAGGAGCCAGTTAAGAACACAAATCCCTACAGCATTTTGTTTTAATTTACATGTTAAAGTCTTGATTTTTAAAACTGGAGGGAAATGATTTGGGGCTGTTTGCTGCCATCCAAGTGGCTGGTTTCCAGCACACTGACAGCAGCCCTGGGATGTGTGTGGCCATCCTTCCATGGGGGGGGGGGGGCTCAGTAGCTGCTCCGTCTAGACAACCAGAAGCAATGCAGAGGGGGGTCCCACTCCAGCTGGCAGCCTCTGTGGCATCACCTCTCAGATGTTTATATTGGTGTCAGGTCCTGAAGGGTCTGCCCTACAGTAAAGTTCTGACGACGGCTCCCCATCCAAAACGTCTTGTGCGCTTTTTCAGTAGCAGCAGTGCCAGTAGTCGACAAGCACGTGTGTGGCAGGAACAGGTGGCAGGAGGCTGAGTGAGAGCGTTGCTGTGGCATCCTCTCCCAGTTGCAAGTGAAGTTCCCTGGGAGCTGGCCTTGTGCGCTGACTCCCTGCTTCTCCAGAGGTGGCATCTCAGTTGCCAGGCTGACTTCTAGAACCCATTCTAGAGAGGTGCTGCAGCATCTGGAATTAAATGGCTCATTCTCATTATCAGGTGAAGTGAAACCCAAAGCACAGCCTTAAGAGCCCTAAGGTGTCCCTCAGTGCCTCTGTGAACCCTAAGAGCAGTCTGGCTCGCTCCCCTGAGCGCTTGCCCACAGACTTTCCGTGTGCAGCTGCAACAGGGCTCTCACTGGGGGTTTTCTTGTCATGAGTTGGGGTGTATTCTCATGCGCCTGACCTCTTTTCATCTTAATGCTCTGGTGGGTGGGGGTTCAGGGGCACTCTGACAACCCGTATTGGTCCTGATTTTGCCTAAACAATCACCTCACATAATGACACTGGGTTACACTTGGCACTTTTACTCTGAGAGAGTAAAGGGAGGCCAGCTCACTGGCCAGGCAGCGGCAGGCTTGTTTCTTCAGGGAGAGCCCTCACAGTGGTACAAGGTCTATTCTGTGTGCTTCCATGCACCCCTGATTGGCAGCATAGGTACAGTGAGACATAACTGGGTGCTGTAGCCACCTTGGCTTTGAAGGCCCAGGTAACTAGCATCTCTATCTCGTGGAACTGTCCCGTGTCCGATATTTCAGCATGGAATGCGCCTCAAAAGGAGAGCTGTCCTACAACCCTAAGCTCCCTACCACACAACCATTGTCACCTCCTGTTCTCTGTGTGGCCTTCCCCAGTCAGGGCAGTTTTGTAAGCAGGGGTTGCTACTAATATACCTGACACTCCACCTTCAGCAGATACCCGGGGATCAGAGCTGGAAAGTTAACCCAGGGGCCAAATGGAATCTCACAGAAGTAGAAGGGGCCTTGTAAACCACTTATTAACAAGAAAATCATGTACCCTTAGCCTCTGTTTTTAGACCTCATTGAAGCCAGGTATGAGAAAGTTGTTTTTGTCCCACTTCTGTGCGGTAGAATAGGGATCAGTTTCTGGCTAAAGCACCGATGACCTACCCTTTAATACCCTCCTGAGTGATGGCAGCAAAAATTATCAAAAGACAGATGGGCATCAAGCAATTGGAAGGAAATACAATTGAAAACCCAGGCCTGAGGTATGGCAGCTCACCGCCCTCTCGGAAACTGACTCACTACTTGGGCTGGTGACAAGGCAGGCGTCCTCTGGATTGGGCATGAGGGGAATCACTTCTTTAGTTGCTGAGCTAATAAAAAGCTCCTCGATGGTTTTCTGAGCTCTTTTGTCTCAGGGAATAGGGCTTGCTCTCCTTGGCCTATAATGATTCAGAGACTTGCAGAAGAGACTGTCTTGGGGTTGAAGTTGATATGAAACCAGTTGTTGCAGTCAACCAGAAGTATGTCTTCCTTGTGTTCCCTAGATCAAGAACACCTTCCTGAGGACTTACTCGGATGCCATGCAGAACTACAACGGCAACGATGAGCGGAGCCGGGCGGTGGATCACGTGCAGCGCAGTGTAAGTCTAGGGAAGACCAGCTGCTAAGTGACCGTGAGGGTCTGACCTTAAACATGTGGGCCGTCAGTGATGTTGGGCTGCTAACATTTGGCTGTGATTACCATTCCCCAAGTCTTGATCCAGTTCCCTGTCCAAGAACTGGACAGCAGACACTTGTCCAGGCTGCACTGATGCAGATAATCACTGTCAAGAAGGGCCAGTGCTTGCAGTGTACCTTTCATCAGTAAACTCGTGAGCAGCCCGGGAACAGCTTTGCCCTTAAAAATCTGAACTGTTGAAGGATGCAGGCAGTGAGAATATGTCAGCCTTGCTGTAAGATGATATTCCCCCAAGACTGGCATTCTGGCAGTGGTGTTTTAGATTGGGTCAAGAACTAAGATGAGCTGTGTTCCTTGTCTTGGACAGTACCTGGGTGGGGGCAGGGTAGATGCAGAAGAAATTACCAGTGTGGAGTGGCCCAGCCTGCCTGGAGCTTTGCAAAAGAATGAGGAAAACAGAGCGGCATGCACCAACAGCCCAGCCTGGCTGTCAAGACCAGTGGGGAGGTCTGAAACGGGAGGTGTTTGTTTTTCTTGTTTTGTGCTTACTGACCAAGCAGTGGTTTTTCTTTTGTTGGCAATTCATTTTGATAAAATTTTCAACTTGTAGAGAGAAGTTGCAAGAAAGAGCGAGGAACTGTCTAACTTTTACCCACTCAATCACATTTCTGCCTCTTTAATCTTCTCTAGGTCATTGGCTAACAAATTTTTGCTGAAGAGTCATATAGTAACTTCTTTTAGGCTTTTGAGGGCCAAGTATTTATTCCCCAACATCACTACTCAACTCTGCTCTGAAGCGTGAGAACAGACACAGACAGCGCGTAAACCATAGGCAGAGCTGTGTCCCAGGAAAATTTGATCCACACAGCCAGGAAGCAGGCTGCTGTGGTCCAGTACCAGCTCTCTCTTCCTCTGTGTGCATCGCAAAAAACAAAACAAAACAAAAACACACACACACACACACACACAAAAAAAAAAACCCAACAAACTGTTTTATTTACTTATTAGTATAGATCCTGCAAAGACCTTTGGAAAAATCCTATTTACCTTGGCTCTGTCCCTGACATTCCTGATGTAGTCGATCCATATCCATATCATTTACAGCACACAACTCACCCAAGTGATTTTGATGCGTAGCCAGGACAGAGAAGTGCTGCTTTGCTCTGTGGTGGTGCTAGGAAAGTTGACACAATAGATATCCAAAGACACCCTTCCTTCTGTGAGCCTCAAAAGGGCCTTGCAGTGAGTGTAATTGTTCATGGAGCTTCAGCTCATCTTTACTCACCAAACCCGGGTGTGTGGACTTAGGGGGTTGGCTGGTGTCTGTCTTTTAAATGTTGCAGTAATGGGACTACAGCGGCTTTGATTCTTTTCCTCTCCCTGTTAACAGCTGAGCTGCTGTGGTGTGCAGAACTACACCAACTGGAGCACCAGCCCCTACTTCCTGGAGCACGGCATCCCCCCAAGTTGCTGCATGAATGACACTGATTGCAATCCCCAGGACCTGCACAACCTGACTGTGGCTGCCACCAAAGTGAACCAGAAGGTACTTGCTTTTCCTCAGTTCTGATGGCGGCATGGGGGAGGTGGTGGGAGGGCTTTCTTTGTTTCCGTGAAATTATGAAAAGCAGGATAGAAGTGGGAATCTATGAGGGAGTCAGGGGTGCGTCTCTATGGTCCTTTACTACATGAGAGAGGCACGGGAGGCCGCCCACTGTGAGGGAGAAAGCTGGGCCTCAGCTGGGCCTGCTACCTCCTGCCTAGTCAGAACGGACCCGGCACAGTTAAGACGGTTTAGTGATTGCTTCTGTTGCCGCCAGAGAGGGAATGTTGACTTTCTTCTTCCTGGGTGTCTTTCTCCAGCTTACTCTACCTTCTGAACGTGACATTGTTCACCGCTGGGTGCCAGTTCTTAGCAGGAAGGGGGGGAGGGTTGAGTTGATAGACAGCATCTGCCTTTGCTAAGAGGGTGGGCTTTATTTTAAGAAGTTCACTGCTACAGGAAAAGAAATCAAACAGTTCAACTCACTGTCAACATCCCATAACCCAAAGAAATTGAAGAGGAAAAAAAAACTGGCTAACAGAAATGTGAAAGTTAGTACATAGTAGAAATGAGGGGAATGAAATTCCAGTAGAGAAAAGGGAACGTGGTGTGTATCCCACTTTACAGAGACTGTGATGAAGATGTGTACACGTGCGTGTGAAGGCTGTCTAGGTTCATAAACCTTTGCAGACACCCCAGGCAGAAAATATCCTTTGGCAAAACAAAAAGGAGGGAAAGCAAACGTACTATTGAATTTACCTGTGGTTATGCAGCTACTGGTTAAATTGTCTTCCTAAGATAAAATTCTATTCTTCTAAGGTCTTCACACTTCTATGTAGTCTGGGCCAACTACTGAATAATTCATAGAGAGAAGGAACCATTCTCTCAAGATTAGAATGCGAAAGATTCTTTCTGTATTCCTCTCATTTCATTTAGGTATTTGTAGCATAAACACTGCAAGGCATCACTGCCCTTCTAGAAACCCCTTTTGTTTCTCTGGGTTTATTATTTTGTCCATTGTTGTGGTGAGGTGAGATACTCAGTTTTGACAATCTCTTGTCCTAACTAAAAGGACATCCGTTCCTACTGGAATTTTCATATGAACCCCAAGTTTGAGTCTCCTTCAGCCCTTGTTAATAAAGGTGACTTCTGTCTTCTCCCTGGGCATCCCCCACTGAATTTTTCTGATTTCTGTTGACACACGACCGCACCTTGTCATTGACCAAAATGTCATGAAGAAGCACATGACTTGACTTTAATAACTACCAGCACAGTAAAATGCTACGTTAACTGCTGCCATTTGGCGAAAAATTAGAATATCCACCTCTCTTCTCCCTTTAACTTCTTCCAAACTCACACTGCTCTCCCTTCACTACCTTTTGAAAAATAGTGTGATATGTAGTTTCACCAGTAAAAAGGAAATCAGCAAGCAAGCTTTTACTATACAGAGAAAATCAAATTCCGAAACTCTCCAAGAGCAATGTTTTTCCTTTTCCACCCCCATCCTAGTCTTCAAATTTCCATCAGGTAGCTAAGGAGACTAGTTTGTCCATTGCATTGAAAACATGTGTCAAAGCACTGCTGCTAAGTTAATGTGCCTTTGCCTCTGAAACCAGACTGAATGCATAAAATATCACTTATCAGAAGACACAGCACCGGCAGAATTTTCCCAAGTTATGAGAAACATTACATTTTGACTTTAATGATGGGACATATTTTCTTGGTGGTGGTTCTTCAGATATTGTTATACTTCTATGTACCTTTTTTGATAAACAAGAGTCTTTACCCTCTATGAAATTAATGTCTTGATTTTTTTTTATTTAGACTTTATATATTCAAGTGGAAGTTTTGTTTTTGTTTTTGTTTTGTTTTGTTTTCAGAAAGATAGAAAAAGAACATGTCTACCAAGGATGAATACATCAATTCAGAAGCGTAGGTTGAGTGAGCCCAGTTCTAAATAAATATATCTATAAACACACACGCACGCACACACACCCCTCAGATATTTGGAGCATTATGGGTAATGCACCAAATTTATTGTTTTCTACCCTAGCTGGGTGGATAAGATGTAATTCAGAATAAAAAGAACAACAAAAAAAGTGTTTAACAACCTTTTTGAACACCCACCAGGTTATTTCTTTTAAAGATCACCTACCTTTAAGGAAAGGTGAATGATACAATAAACTAACATTACAATCAGTAAAACTGGTGTTGGCTTTAATTGCAGCATTTGGAGATTTCATAGTATGTTAAAGGGAAATTCATTCCTTTTATGGATTAAGCTGTTGACATTCCAGAAAGAGTAAATGACACATTCAAGATCCAATAGTACATTAGTGGAAAAGATGACTCTGTTTCATTGGTTTTCCCTATTAAAAAAATAATAATGGTTTCCTTATAAAGAACCTAGAACTCCATAAAGTTGGCAGGTATTCAGACACCTCTCTAACCAGATGATTCATGATTCAACATTATTTATCTAGGTTTTTGTCATTTGCTATCTAAAAAATGCTAGTCACTATATTTATGATGGTGAGTCTTGCTGTTCAAGGGTGGGGAATGCCTTTTCATCTGTTCAGGCCTACTTCTCTAGCTCTACAACGTTTGCTTCCTGGAGCCTATAGATTCCTTGCTAAATTTAATTCCGAAACACTTGAAGGTGAAAGTCCATATCCAGGATTTGCTTTACCATAATCCAGCCACGGGAAGGGAGTTGGGGAGATTTACATGAAATAAGATTGGTCATGTGTTAATTGTGATGTCAGAGGAGCGATCACTTAGGGATTCGTCCTGTGGCCCTCTATACTTTCTTATTGAAATTTTCATTTTAACTTTGGAAAGAAGGCTAGCAAGTTCCTGGGCTATTTGCTGAATTCAGGTTGGAACACTCGTGGGTGCAAGTTGACACAGCCCCGTCTGTTCTGAGTAAAACACATCTCTGAGATTGTCCCTCTCTGCTTTCAGGGTTGTTATGACCTGGTGACCAGTTTCATGGAGACTAACATGGGGATCATCGCTGGAGTGGCTTTTGGAATCGCGTTCTCCCAGGTAGCCTGTGGGGCTGTGTAGCCCTTTCCTGGCCTCCAGCTTGCCTTTCCCGCCCTGGTCTCCAGATTCCCTGCCTGCCTTCCCTGCGCCTTGGGGAGGCCTGATAGATAGGGTCAGAGCTCCTTGCTCATTAGTCCTCAGGTCATGTGTTTATTGATTTCCCTTTTTCAACTTAAATGAAGTTTTGCCATCAAGGGAATATCGGTTACAGTTCAACTAATGACTAGCTCCAGAAAAACAACTCGCTTCTTCTGTAGGTCAGATGGAGGTTAACTGAACAAAGTGCTGGTTTAATTGGGGCATAAACAACTCCAAACATTAAATGGCTGATCTGGATTGGTGGGGATGGCTTTTCTGGGTTGACCTGTCCTGTTTTCTTAGTTGCTGTGGGTTATGCATTAGATCCCACCCGTAAATTTAGCAGATTTCATTGTGCAATCATTATTTAATCCTCTCGGTTCGACTCTTCTGTTTCGTAAAGGGATACTTCAAGAAATTTTTCTTCATTCGGACCGTTACCATTTATCGCCCTTTATCTCCACCCAGCCCCTACATAAACAATGGAATAAGTATGCAGATGAATGGAGGGACACACTTCTTAAACATGAAGCATAATAAGCTTAATCTAAAACTTCTCCCACTTCTGCCAGGCAGTATACTGATGCCCTGGCCAAAAGCTGTATTGTAGCTATAAAATGACTGTGGATAAAAGGATTGGCATATATGCTTTTTGGCATATATGCTTATATAATATATATATATATATATATATATATATCATATATATCATATATTTATACACACACACAAGTATTTATGTCTAACTCAGAATTTTTTAAGACCAACAGATTGTTTTCCAACAAAGCCCAACTAATGTTATGTCAGTAATGTTTGGGAGGCTCGAATTTTCCCTGCCTGAAGCTACATTGGCTCTCTCAGACGAGAATTACCTTTTTCGCTCCCCCTGCACCTCTTTTCTTCCTGCCGAGTAATGCACATGCCCTTTAATGTTCTTCAAGTTTCTTCCTAGATTTTTTTTAATTGAAATATGACATGTAGAGAAAAGCGCATAAATTCTAAGTTTACAGCTTATTGAATTACCAAAAAATGAACATAGTGGTGTGTCAGCTGGGTCAAGAAATAGGTGTTAGCCTGGTAGCTCTTGTAAATACAGGGCTTAACCTGAAGAGAGGATGAAAATATTTTCTACCAAAAAAGTTACAAAAACCCGAGTGATGTTTCATCTTACAATAGCCTGAATATGTATTTCTTGTAGTAATTTCAAAATTCTTTTTACCAGATTTGTTTCTTGCAGTTCATGAACCAACTGAAACCCTCAACACACCAACACAGTCAAACCAGAGGGCGTCACACACAGTGTCAATAAGCCCAGTTTCTAAGGATAGCTCAGAAGCATTGCTGGCCTGGCCCTTATTCTGGGTGCATCCGTATTTCAGTAGTGACACTTCAGTGACCTGTCTGTAGCAGCCAGGGGGCATTTTGGAGCATCCTGGATTTCCTGTCCAATGCACATAAGCAGGCTTCACCTGACGGCTCACACACACATGGTTCTCCTGCCACATGTATGTGCAGTGTCAGGGGAGCACACACACAGGTCACACTGCTTGGCCTTCAAGTAGACTGTTGCCTCCCAGGAAGGAGTATTGAGGTCTCCCATCATGGCTGTCATTGTCCCATAAAGGCACAGGACGCGGTACTCTCTCTGGGGAGAAGAGAGCCTTAAAGAGCCTGAAATCTCACAGATGCAACAGCTTATCATTGAAGACTGTTCCCATGTGGCCTGAGGGAGTAGAGGACTACCCTATTTTCATCAGTGAGGTGAACTGAATCATACAGAATCTGCTCATACCCCTCCACTTCTCTCTTGCATCCTTGTGAAGGGATTTATGCTTAGATGAATGGTTATCTGGCTTGATAGGCATCAGTTTCTCTGGGGGGATTGTTGAGTTTGCTCTGTGACCCTCTGAAGGCAGTGAAAGAGGGGTGTCGATCACCAAGAACCCCCAAACAGAGAGATCAGGTCCCATCAAGGTACCACTTCATTGCTGGCATCAGAAAACCAAGCACAGTCTGGTGGCGTCACAGATATGGTACTGTTCTCCCTGTGACTGGACAGCTTCTGTGGGGCAGAGGCCTGAGGCCTGGCATGCTCAGTGTGAGACTGGTGGAGGCCCCATTGTGGTTTTTACTAGCTTATGTATTAGGAGCTACAGCTTTTAATGCTGGAAGCTAAAGTTGACTTTCAGATGCCCGTAGCTCTAGACCTCCCTAGAACAGCAGAAACCACGACCTAATGCTGGTTCAAGAGGAACCAGCCCTACTATCCTGGTGATTGACCTGGAGCCAGAGATTTAACTGTATGTGTTCAGAACTTTTAGGATCATGTGGTAGTGACAGTAAGTGCTGGCTGATGTGAGTGAGTCAGTCATATTGACCTAGGGCTACTCTCCAGAAGGGGATGGTTAAGTGACTAGCCTGACAGTGGCTACTGGAGATGCAGGATGACAATTCTGACCTGCTCCCTGATGTGCAGTATTAAATTTTTAGGCCAAAGATCACCCTTGAGCTTGATTCCCATAGTGCCCAAAGAGAACTCATCTTGTGCCTTTGAAATGCAAGGTTTTGAGCCTGCAGAATTGTAAGGAAAAGGTTATTCATTAAAACATAGTCTCTTGCTATCCATCCATCCCCTGGCCCTGCGCCCTGCGTGCCGGCATGATTCATTATGGGTCAAGAATTATCTTCCATGCCTTTGAGAGAACTTGTTTACATTCTCTGTATCCAGGCCACCCAAGGCAGTTGATAGCCTTAATGAGAGATGGCCACATAAAGCTAAGGGAACTGTTTACTTATTCCTCTTGTAGCATCTGTGAAGATCCCTAATAGCATTTATAGTTTCATTCCAAATTGAATTCCTTGGCTCTTTCCCAAAGACACGAAAGCTTTATTCAGTTTCCCAGTAGTCATTAACATAAAATCTGCTCAGGTATTATTATAAGGGTCTCAGTTTTTGACTTGTTGCTTGTCATCTTCTTATCAAGAAAATTCCCTTTACAGCTGTTTGTTGTCTTCGTTGTGTGGCTCAAGGGGTCTGGACCACATTTACCTGCCAGGGTCACCCCAGGGGGAGCGGCCTTTGTCTGTCACTTTTTACATGTCCTGCTTTGCTGACAAGACTCCACCACCATGACTCTGTCCCACCCTTTGGTGTCCTTTCTGACAAGTGATTTGTGAAGCCTGGGAGATATCCATGCTCCCCAAGCTGGCCATTGCCAACTTTTCAGCTCTTTCTCTGTTGGGGGGATGGGACGGGGGGTGGATTTTGGATTTGTGTACCCATGGCTTCTCATATCATATTGAGCTTTCAACTAACTTAGACAGTTATTTTTTATGAGAGCTTGCTAATTTTCTGGTATTTCATGTTTTACTTCCTCTTAGAACATGACCAGATTTTTGAGACCAGTGTGTCAAAAGTGGTTTGTAAATAGCCAGAACAAGCTAGACCTAGAACCCTCCAGTTGTCCTGCAGCAGCAGGCTGGCCCCTAAGTCCTAAATCCCAGAAATCAGGCTTGCTCTCTCCCCTGCCCCCGCACGCCCTTTCCCCGAGTTGCACAGATAGCCTCTGGCTCAAGCATGACCGGGCCCTCAAAGAGGAGACATTCTGTAGGGGAGGAGGAGGGAGAAGGACCAGGGCAGGGGACTATGGGACAAGCACAAGGGACTATGGCGATGGTGCTCTGGTGAATTGGTGGCGGGAGTTTCCTGCGGATGCCATACATTGTACAAAAGTAAAGGATGATGTAATGGGTATATATTTTAAATTTTAAAAAATGAAGGATGTAGCTCGGCGACTCATGACTCGTTTTCCTTTCCCATGCTGGCAACAGCTCATCGGCATGCTGCTGGCCTGCTGTCTGTCGCGGTTCATCACGGCCAACCAGTACGAGATGGTGTAAGGAGGAGGTGAGAAGCCAGGGGGACATTTCATTTCAGGCTTCTCCTTTCGGGGGCCCAGATTATCCTTCACATGGTGAATCAGAGCTTGGGGGCGTTGGTCCACGTGTGGAGACCTCATTTCTCTGGGCCTTGGGAAGAGCTGTGGGAAATCGACGAATATTCTCTTCAGCTTGTTACCTTATTTTTAAAGCCTTATTAATGATGGCTCTCTTACACATTTTCATTTTTCTCTCAGTCTTTCAAGAACGACAGAATAAGAGACCTGTTGGAAAAAGCAACTGCAGCAATCTTTGAAAGACTTCCAAAGAATGTTAGAGTGCAGTACATAATACACCTGCCCCGCTCCCCCTAAAGCCCTCCCAAGTGCAACTGACACCCCCACACAGTCTCTGCTCCACCTTCAGTCCACATCATGTGTAGCATTACATTTTGTGAAGCCCCGTTGTGCCAGAGTGTAGCCAGGCCCCTGCATCTAGTCCTAGTGGACCCCGCTCTTGGCCTTGTGCTCCTCCATCTGTACCTGGTCCACCCGCAGCTCATTGTAGGTGACTGGTTATCACGCCATCACTGGCCCCTCTGGGCCTTGCATGTAGTGTGGGAGGCTCCAGTTAGCCCTTGTCCTGACTGATAAATGCTACACCCCTTGATGTAGATAAGCAGATAGCTGTCTGTTTTTCCACTTAATCTCCTTTGGTTCGCTTTTCCCCTTACTAAGGCTCTTTCCTACCTTCTTCAGGCTTCCTGGGACATGTAAAGAGGTACAACAGTGATTGTCTATGAGGAACGCAAAGCATGTGTCATGCATCGAGGAAATTGTTAGCTTGAGGTGACCTTGCTCATTATTGTTACCCGCCTAGGTGTGTATAGTCACCTTAGTGTGCCTGTGCCTCTCAGTTGAAACCCATATATTCCTGTTACAGAGCTGTATTGTTGCTTCCTGTTCAAGCACTATTAGTTCTATTTCCCCCCCAATTAATTGCTTTTGTGTTACTTTCTTCTTTCTATATTTTTTCCTTGCAATGACATTACAGACATCGAGGACCTCATCAAATCGATTTAAAAATGAGTGAAGGGGGAACAGAAGTCGAAATAATTTCAAAAGATCTTTAAAAATAATGCCTCTGTCTAGCATGCCAACAAGAATGCATTGATATTGTGAACATTTGTGATACATGTATTAATAAATAGAATCATGACAGACCGTGTGTCTGGTTTTGTTCTTTGGTTATTGTGTAAGTTTTTATTCTCAGATTTCTAGTCCATTTATTCTGCAGGGCCCTGGAGGTGGATTGCTTTACACACTGACACCCCCATACCTGCTTTCATCCCACCAGAGAAAGCACCAGACAGTGTAAAAACTGAAGGGCTAGGGGCCACCCTGGTGGCACAGGGGTTAAAACCTCAGCACTATCACCAGCTACGGGGGTTTCAAGGTCTATCCCCAGCCAGGGAGGTGACCCACATGGCACAGCAGACCTCTCCTGACCCACCTGCTGCTCCCCTCAGCAGTGTATTTCAGTCAATCCCTGCTCTGCTCCCCACTCTGTCTCTGGTGAATCCTCTCATCCCCTCCCCACACACACCTCTACCCTACACCCCTGTTCTTATATGCATAAATAAGTAAAATAAATCTTAAAAAAAACTGAAGGGTTAGGTTTTTTTTAACAGATATTTCAGAAATGTGAATCTTTTATCATGAACAGGATCTATAGTTGGCTGCAAAAATAGAATCTTCATTTTATTTCAGGCTAGAGGCAGAAAGAGTCCAGCAGTTTTTTTTTTTTATTAGTCTAGCTAGCATAGAAAAGGAAATGAGTATGTATTCCTCTTCTCAGCATTCAATAAACTGAATGTAAGAAGAGATGACATCATATTACCACTGAGTCATCCTCAGTCTGCACTAGAGTAAGATGCTTCACACTTGATTTAAAGAGCATTTTAGCAATAGGTGAGGTAGATATTATCTGCCAGCTATTTTTTCGTCTGTAATGAATCAGCCTTAAAGAAAAAAAAAAAAAACTAGTAAAAGCATATATTGATCTGTTCCCAAATAAATGTTTCTAAAAAGCTCCCTCTTCTCTGTAGAGTGACCTGTAATAAAGATGATGATGGCATTCTAGCTGTATGTTTATTAGCTTGAACAGTGTGCAGGGTAAATCCTGGAAGGCTTACAAAGGTCACTGCCCCCAACCTTCAGGTAGTCCCTCCTGAAAGGTTAACAATTTTAGAGAATGAAGATCTCTTTGGGGACTGAATATACAGTTCAACTTTTCAAAATTTCATTTTAAAAATTTTATTATATATTGAAATTAGACTTTTCTGTAAATTCCTAACTGGAGCCCTCTCCATGGTTCACCTTGTTATAAACTAGGCATGGAATAATGTACTCATGCTCATATTGATATCCTTAGGTAAGAAATCCAGACACTTTCTAAATTTAATTCAGATCTCACTATAATTTCAATGTGAAACATTTAGGCCAAGGTTGATTTGACTTTAAAATTGTACTCATCTTTCAACTTCAAATGGAGTATATAATGTACATTCCTCCTTCAAATGACATGAAAAAGACACCAATTGAAATACCTTTGAAAATATTTTATGGTAGCTTGTACAAAATGTAAGTGCATAGCTTGGATATTTATATTTGTATAAACCAGGAATATAGCTAAATATGACAGAATATTTTCAGCAGCCTTCTCAGTCAGTAACTACCTCCATCCTGTAAGGGTAACCATTCTTTTAAGTCCATCACCACAGGTTAGTCTTGTGCCTTAGACTCATATAAATGGAATCATACTGTATGGACTTTTTCATATCATTTCTTTTACTCAAATTTCTGTCTGCAAGTGTAAATTATGTGATACATGTAAACATAGTCTTATTGTCACTGTTCTGTAGAGTTCCACTGTCTGGATATAGCTTAAATTATCCATTCTGGACTCTTGAGTCTGTCCCATGGCTTTGTCTATGTGATTTTATGCTGATGCCATACTGTTTTGATTACTAAGATTTATAATATAGTTTTAAATGAAAAGGTATAATTCCTCTAGCTTTGTTGTTTTTCCTCAGGATTGCTTAACTATTTGGGTTTTTGTAGTTCCATATAAGTTTTAGGGTTTTTTTTTTTTCATATTTTGGTGATATTGCCATTGGAAATGTTTTAGAAATTGCATTGAATATATAGATGGCTTTGGAGAGTATAGACATTTCAACAACATTAATTATTCTGATACACTCCATTTTGATTATATTCTTTCTGCTAAGGATACGTGAATAAAGTGACAAAGATAATACTAGAAAAATAACAAAAGCCCTTTCTTCCTAACAAGAGCAGTATTTTTTTTCCATAATACCTCCATCATTTGTGGGATTTTAAAGAGTTTTGGCTTTTAGTTTTGTGGTACTCATTCTGATACATTTTGTAAACATGTACACATTTGAGGCTGCAATTAGAAAATAATTGAAGCTGTCATTAAGAAATGTTGTGACAGTCTTAACATTTATTAGGATTAAAATAGCAAAATATACAAAAGTATTGTTCTTATTGTTTGTACATATTTCGTTGTGTTAAAAGCCTTCTGTACAAAACTCAGGTTGAATAGATATTTGAGACTAATCATAGATCACCCCAGAGGTTGATTTCTTGGGGTTTGGTCTGACCACTGAGATTTCTTTTGAAAGTTCCGCAGATGATTTGAGTGAACATCCAAGTTGGGAAACCCTTATACTGAATATGACTCCAGTTTACCTTTTTAAGCTTAAGCCACTTTTATGCCATTTGCTTGAAATGATTTTACTCTGCTTGACACATGCTTGTTCCCACTCTCTGCTTTCCTTCTGATTTTCTGTTTGGATTACTTTTCTCAGAGACCATGTCGTCTGGGATACTGTTCCAGATTCTCCATTTCCTCTGCATTAATTGTATGACATTGTTATAGTAATGTCTTGGTTTGAATTTTTAAAAAAGATTTATTTATCCATACAGAACTAAGGTAAAGGCCAGAGGTGCAGGAGCAGTGAGAGGATTCACCAGAGACAGAGTGGGGAGCAGAACAGGCAGATTGACGAAGTACACTGCTGAAGGGAGCAGCAGGCAGGCCAGAGGCAGGCCAGGAGAGGTCTGCAGCCACATGGATCAACTCCGGGGCAGGGATCGAACTCATGCTGAAGTGGCTTTAGCTTCTTAGTGCTGTGCTTTAACCCGCTGCACCACCAGCGAGGTCCCTGGTTTGAAATTTTAATGGCATCTAAATTTGTTATCTTTTTCATTCCTAGTAGTATTGTTTTTTCTTCTTCTTTTTTTTTCCCTGTCATGTTGGAAATTTGACTTATGTCTTTTAAAGAAAACAACTTTTGATTTGCTTCTCCATATTTTTTACTATTTCATTAATTTTTGCACTTCCTTCTACTCTCTTTGGGTCTTCTTGGGTTTTTCTCTAACTTTGTGTATTGCATTCCAAGGTGAATATTTTTAATTTTTTCTAATATGTTCATAAAAGTAAAGTCTTTACTAAGCACTGCTTTAGCTACATTTCAGTTTCCATCTGCAATTTTATTGTCTTTTAGTTCTAGACACTGTGACGTTACCATTACGATTTATGTATTTAACCATAAATTAGAATTTAAGGTTCCAAATGTGTGAAGTTGAAGTTTTTTTGCTCAAAGAGAATTATTTAGTTTTTAAGATAAAGGTGCTTTGTTATTTTTCAAGCTTGCTTGTGGCCTAGGATGTGGGAAGTGTTTCTTTGTTGTGTGCTTAAAAAGTCATTGCCTTCTCTAAATGTAGGTATATAGTTAGAACAAGCTGACAAATAAGTCAGAATAGTATATTTTGTGACTAGAATCCATGTTATCTGTGCTCTTGTGTCTGTAGTGTTTGTTTCATGTATCAGTTTCTGAGAATGTTGTAGTTTCCCACTTTGCACTCAATTCTGTTAATTTTGTTTTGCTCTATGTGTTTTAAATCTATTTTATTAGGGACATGCGAGTTCAAGATTATGCCTCATGGATGAATTATTTCCTTTGTCCATTATGGACTGATCTTTTTTTTCTCCCTAAATATGATGTTTCCTTTAAAGTTCACTTTTTCTAATATTATAGCTATTACAAAAATTTACTTTTGATGAACACTTGATGAGGTTATTCTGTGTCCTTCTGCTTTCCACCTTTTTGTGAATTATTTTTGATGTTTTTTAAGATAGTGTACGACTGCACTTTGTTTTCTTTTTCAGCTCAATCTGAGAAAATCTTAGAATAAAAAACTTAATCTAGTTGTTTTCACACTACTAGTTTTACTTTATTTCCACAATGTTATTTTTCTCTACTGTTCATTTATTGCTTTTCTTCTTCCCTGCCTTCTTAGCTTATTATATCTTCACATTTCTTTTTTAAATTATTTTATGTCTATTCTTTTATTGATTAATCTTTCTAATATTCGTACTTGCAATGGAAAGTTAATCAAAATCTGCATCTTCCTCCAAAATAACAGAGTATTTTAATTGTAGTTACCTGTAATTTAACTGCCATGTTTTTGTTGTCTGACATTTTATTTCTATTGTTTTTCCAAATGAATCATGACTTTTAGTATGTTCAGGGTGTACTTATAGTTTATTTTTAGTAGGTGCAAGTTCAATTTTGTGTTTTTTTAAAGATTTATTTATGCATGCTTACAGAACTGGGGTACAGGCCAGAAGTGTGGTGGGTGAGAGGATTCAGCAGAGACAGAGTGGGAAGAAGAACAGGCAGATGAACTGAAGTACACTGCTGAGGGGAGCAGCGGGCGGGTCAGGAGAGGTCTGCCACGCCATGTGGGTCAGCTCCCTGGTTGGGGATCAAACTTGTGCTGCAGTGGCTTCTGAGAGCTTCATAGAGCAGTGCTTTAACCCATTGTGCCACCAAGGAGGGCCCTCAATTTTGTTTTTATTGACATGCATGTTTATTTCAAGGGGCTAATATGTCAACAAGCCTATTCCATCCTCACTTTGGAGTGATATTTTAATTGGACGTAAAATTCTACATTGGTATTAGAAAATATTTCTGACCTTTTACTACTGTTTAAACATGTTCAATTGTTCGTTTCAGGTATCCTGTCATTTCTGCCGCATGTGTCTTTTGCCCTTAGTTGACAGGGTCCATAGATGATGGACTTTCTCATTCTGTCTTCTGTGTTTCTTAGATGCTTACATTTTCCCGTGTCTT